AGCGGGTCCTGTTGCTGCAGAGACACTGCTACAAATCCAGCCGTTGCTGCTNCAGCAGCAGCAGCAGCAGCAGCAGCAGCAGCAGCAGCAGCAGATGACGATACGACCGAGGTGCAGCAGCATAGGAAGCGTTCGTTCTTATAAAACCTAAAAAAGGATACAATGGATTCGCAATTAAATATTTATTTAAATTAATATAAAATAATTTATTACAATTCATATAAACATAAACAACTGCAGCACGCAGCTCAGCAGCAGAAGCAGACACTCCGCAGAGCGGATGCTCAGCAGCGAACAGCAGCAGCAGCAGCAGCAGCAGCAGCAGGAACAGCAGCTGCTGCAGCAGCAGCACAGACGAGGGATCTGCGTGGAAAACTTCCTTTTATATTTTTATTGATATTTTTTTTTAATACTTTTTATAAATAAATATTATTTCTTTATAAATATCTACACACAAACACCGCCCCCTCGAAGCCCCGTGCAGTGGGAGCATGTGGGGTGTCACTGCAGCACGACCGGGTGTATAGCGAATCCCGCCGGTTGCTGCAGCAGCAGCAGCAGCAGCAGCTGCTGCTGCTGCTGTTGCTGCAGTTGCAGTTGCAGGGTGTTATGTGGATTGTCAGGGTGCAGGGAGCAGCAGCAGCAGCTGCTGCTCTAGCCCGCCCCCCTCAGCTGTGTACTGCAGCACAAGTGTGAAACACGGCTTGTGTGTATGAAGCAGCTGGGGTCCTCGATGGTATTAAGGGGTTGTTGTGAGCTGCAGTGAAGCCAAAACAATTAAAATATATATTTCCATACAGCAGCTGACTTACCCTGTACACCCCAAACACCCTAGAGAGAGCAGCACGAAGGCCTGCGGCTGCTGCTGCTGGGGTGAGGGGTTGCTGCGAGCCGTGCTGCTGCTAGTGCAGCAAGGTATCTCCTGCTGCATGCATGCATATCTAAGCCCCCTTTGCTGCACACACTAACACTAGAGACAATCGATGAACGCTGGCTTGACCCTTCGTAGGCAGACTACACACAAGCACACATACATTCACCGCCTTCAGGGGGGCCATGCTGCACCTCATCACCCTCACTCTGTCTATCAGAGCTCGTTGTCGCATGCGTAGCCGAGTTACTGTAGGTGGTTGAGCCTAGGGGAGTCTCCCGCTGCGCTTTCTGCCGCTTTCAGTCAGTGCAGTGTATGGCGTTGCGTGTTCTGCTGTTCCTGCAACTCTTGATGTTGCTGTAGCAGCTGCTGGCGTCAGCTTTATGTTGCCCTTCTGGTCCCGTATCTTGCTACTACTGCCACTTCTATTCATTTTCTCGCTGCTGACGAGCAGAAGCAGTAGCTCCTTGCTCTGCTGCAGAGAGCGAAGCCCGTAGCGGCACCGACAGAAAAGGAGAAGGGGCCGCCAAGGGGCAAGAAATAAATTTGTGAATAAAAAGCACAAGTTAGGAGAAATACGACAGTGAGTCAGTGGTACTTGGGTATTCCGGCTTGAGGCTGTGCACAGGGAAAGCTTTGCTTTTCCTGCTGCTTCCTCTGTGCTGCTGTTTCTCCTCGCAGTATCTGCTGCTGCAAGGGATACGCCAGCACCACTGGTCGCAGTTTGTGGGTGAAGCGATGGTTCTGCAGCTTCTGCTGGAGCTGCCGCTGATCGTCTGCTACTGCTCTGCTGCGTTTGTACAGCTACATCTTTTGGTGCTCTTTTCCTGTGTTCTGCTGTTGCTGCACTAAGAGAATCAGGACCTGCGTCTGTCTTTTGCAGCAGCAGCTGCAGCCGTAGCAGCTGTTGTCGCTGCATTTGTAACAACAGCCTGGGGAGACAGAATGAAGTTTTCCCCTAGCAGCTGCCGTCGTAGGCGCGGGGCTGGGATGCCCTACAAGTCGCAACGGGGGGTACTCATGAACAAAATAGGTATACATTGCGGCGGAGCTGAGCTAATAGGTAGATGGAACAGCACAGAACATGGTAAAACGTGGGTTAGCACCGGAACTGGAGTAGATAGAAAGTTATAGACGCCTCTACAGAAGTACAGAAGTAACAGATCAATCATCCTACGCGGCCTATCTTTACACCGCGATGTGCTAGCCTACGTTTGTGGTTTCATTCACTTGGTCAAGCAACGCCAGCAGCTACTCCTGAAAGACTAATTGCATTACACAAGCGATTCGTGCTTTCTGCCTCCTAGCCATGGGATATAATACTTTCTTACTTTCTTTTCCTTTGGTGTCTACGCTTGGTTACCCGTGTACCCAGGATCTCAACCCCCTTCAGTTATTTATTTATTTATATTTATATCCTAGTGACGTTGCTATCGTTCTGTAGAAAAAAAAAAAAAA